CCCCTGCCAGGGACCCCCCGGTCTGCAACGCACCCGCCAGCCCCGAGCCAGCTGGGTCGGGGGGCCGGGGGGCGGCGGAGCAGCCAGAGCCCAGCGCCTGGGGACCGGGACAGCCCCAGGGGCCAGGACAGCCCTGGGCCGGCAGCGTTCCTGGCCCCGTGCTGGGTGCGGAGCTGAGCTCCCCGCAGCCCCGCTGCTGGCAGGGGCCAGAGGGCGACCTTGGCTTTCACCGCCATGTCTCCGCTGACACCTCCCTCCCAAAACCTGAGCGCGGAGCCTGCCTGGGAGCTGCAGGACACCTCGCCCAGGAGCACAGCAAGCCCCTTCAGAGGCATCCCTTCACCCTGCCTCCCGGGGCATGTTTTCCAGGTGCTGACCCCTTGTGTCCCACCGCTGTGCCCCACGGGACTGTCTCAGCCCCCAGCACGCACGGTCCACCTGCAGATAAGCGGGCAGAAGCCACCCAGTACTTCCAGGTTTACAGCCAGAGCAGTTTCTCCTCTGAAGACTCAGACTCGCAGAACTCCACCGAAGAAGCCCCAGCAGCGAGCCTGGCTTTGCCCCAGGACCTCCAGAGTCCCAGACCACCTTGCCCCTCCGAAAAGCCCCCCCAGATTGTTTACCTGGAGAACCACCACACCGAGAATCCAGCTAAAGCAAATGCCAAGTAAAACCAGTCCCTTCCAGTTGGGGTGGTTTCTGTCCAGTTGTGGAAGTCTCAATCACCAACTGGATGGGACGTCCCAAGCTCAGAGGTGGGACGCTGGGACCTGTTGCCCAACCCTCGGTCCCACAGTCCTTTAGTTCCCTGTACTTAGCGCTCAACCCACTGTGGAATGGCAGTAACCCCATCACCAGCCTCACGAGGTTCATTAATAATCTACTAGGTGTGTAGCAATCCTCATGTAAAGTGCATTTATCCCTACAAGCACCAGGTTTGCCTCAGGACAGCAGTGAGAGTTCCCTGCAGTCAGCAGCCATGCTCGGAGCGTCCCATGGGAGCGCAAACCTGTGCCGAGGCGTTTCTGCCTGCCAGCCCCTCTGTGCTGCCCCCTCCGCCGGGCGATTCTACCGTCCCCTGTGCTGCTGCTGCAGCCTTGGCCGAGCGACAGCGACAGGCGTTTTGTTCATGTGCACTCGTTAACGTGGGACTAACGTTATTAATGTTAATAAACCTGAAGAGAAGCGCCCAGCGTGGTCCTCGTGGAGCAGAACGAAAAGGCGTGTCCTGCCGAGAGCCAGGCCCCGGGCTGCTCGCCCGGGCTCCCCGGCGCTGCCCCAGCCCAGCGCCAGCGGGCAGCTGGTGCCACCATGAGAGCCTCCCGTGTCGCCTGCACGGGCTGTGGCCGCAGCCTGGCTCTCCTGCTCACCGCTGGTCTCTGGCTGCTGGTAGGATGGTCCTGGTTGGTCCTGTTCAAAACGCTGCTGGCTCGCCCCTGTTGTGCCCTGCCCCGCTGCCAGGCTGCAGGCATTTGCAGAATGAGTCCCTCTCCCTTTTGTAAGGGTTAAATAACTCCATCTCCGGTTCTCACTCCCACCCTACCACCTCCCCAGTACATGGGCGAGGGTGGTGTCATCCTGCCCAGCCTCCCCACTCGCTGGGAACAGGCTGTCCCAAAGCCTTGGGGATCCAGCTGAGCTTGGCGCGACCTCGCCGATTGCTGTCCGAAACAGCCCGGGGTCCCCGGGGATCTCATCCCCACAGGCACGTCCCACCAAGCTGCACAGCCTGTTCGGGCACCCGGGAGCAGGCGAAACCAGGCAGGGGACGGGCTGTCCAGGCCAGGGTGCTGCGCTGCCTGCCACCCCAGGCAGCCGCATCATGAGCTAATCAAGAGACATCGTAGAAAAAGCAATATCTCATGTAGAGGCTGTTCCAGAAAAACACTCTCCCCCTCCCAGCCGCGGTGCGGTCATGGCTCGTGGCCCTGTGTGATGCTGCGCCTCAGCAAAGGGCACTTGCTCATCCCAGTGTTTGTGAGCATCACTCATACCCCCCTCAGCCTTGTTTTTGCCAAATCCCCAAGCCAAGCCCCACTGAGCTCCTCTCCGGAGACCGCAGTCCCGGCCACCCCCCACGGCACCACGCTCCTGCGATCAGAGGACGCCCCAACCCCACAGGGCCACGTCCACTGGACGCCCCATGGTTGCAACACTGGAGCACACCGGGCTCCCTGGACCTGGCTGCGGGGCCAGGTGGAAAAACAATCTGCTTTTCCTTCGAAAAGCCACTTCTCCTCCCAAAGGAAAGGCTGCCTGTTCACGAAGACCGATCCCAGCCTGCTCCCCAGGTGCTGCCCTGGGACCTCCTGCCCGTCGCTTCTGCTCCCAGTCCCACCCGTTGTCCACTCTTTCAGTTCTTTTAAACTCCGTCCTCTCCAGCTAAGACCCTAATTTCCCAAGTAGCACTTCTATCACTGCTTCACTGAAATCCCGCTAGCCGAGGTCTATCCCGTTCCTTTTGGCTTAAAAGTAATTATCAAAGAGAGACACTGGGGCAGGTGTGCACGATCCATCCTGGGCGAACCCAGCCGGCTTTGCTCCATTCTCCAACTAACGCCACGTCCTGAATGTCACCGAGGTCACCCCAGCAGGGCCACTTTTCCTACCTCTTCATGTAATGATATTTACCCATGCCCAACCGTCTGGCCCCGCACCGAGTATAAAGGGCTTCAGAAATCCCCTTGCTGCAGAGATGATGTAGCACATAAATCCGGAGAAGGAGCAGACGGACGCACCTCACCCTGCCCCAACGTCCCTGCGAGCCCCCCGGGGCTCCCTGTCCCCGCGCCGGCCAGCCGAGCGAGCCCGCTCC